ATGGATTACTCTGACTGATAGATGTGTTTCTGACACTGTTTGGTGTAGATCTGTCGGTGGCAACGTCAGGCATCGGGGAAGGCTCGACGGCGAGTAGCAGCAGGTCTCTGGGGTGAGAAGACCCTAATCCCTGGAGCGATCTGGACCGTTGGATGGGTCCAAGTCCAAGGGCTAGAGTGAGGCGTTGGATTAGGGTTTAAAAACCCTAAGTTTATGGGTTATCAAACTGGGTCGGGTTGAGTTTGTACTGGGTCAAGTTTGGGTTGGGTCTTGTACTGCTTTGGTGGGCTATTGAGTCGGGTCTTGGGATACTGGGCTTGTACTGGGTCACTGGTTGGCCTGTACCTATGTAATAATAGTATTATTAATAATAATAATAATAATAAATAATATTATTTTTGTAGACTCGGACAAAAACAGGTGTCTAAAAAGCCTACAGATGTTCATTGGTTGTCTGTTAAATGAATATTAAGATATCTAAAAGGAACCTTAGATCATGGACTCTGGTTTTCCTCTCAAGTGCAAGGAATGTTATCTCTCAATGCTTTTTCTGATTCCGATTGGGGAGTAGATGTTGATAACAAAAACTCTGTTTACAGTGTCACACATTTGCTTTCTTGGAGCTCGAGAAACAACGACCAGTGTTACGATCGACTGCAAAGGTAGAATATAGAAGCCTTGCTGACGTAATGTCGAAAGTAATATGGGTTAAAGCTGTGTTGGATGAAATGGATGTTCCCTTGCCTGAAGCACCAAAAGTCTGGTGTGACGACACTAATGCGGTTGCAATGGCTACAAACCACATTTTACATGCTAAGAGCAAACATATTGACCTAGATTTACACTTTGTTCGCGACAAAATTGGAGCACGAGAAATTCGAGTTAACTATGTGTCATGTGACAGTCAAGTTGCTGATGCTTTAACAAAACCTCTTGCACAAAATAGGTTTGAAATGCTCATGAACAAGTTGTGTGTCTTTGAGTTGGAAGAAGTGATGTAAGAAAGTAAGGTGAATATTAGACTTACCTTAAAATCATCTAGTATTCTACTACACGTGGTTTTTTTGTTGATACACGTGGCATGTTATTTAGTTTGTTTTAACAGCCGTATAGAAGTTAACCCAATCGTGTAACTTGTTAAATAGTCAATTGATTGTATGAATCATTCATTCTTGGAAATACAAAAACAAATTATCTTTCTCCATTCTTTAACACTCTATTATTATTTTTTATTAAATTTTTTCATTAGGTTTGAATATTCGATAATTTTACAGGTTTGTTGTTGTACAATTTTACTAATTTTAATCTTAACATTTTAGATCAATTTTAAAATTACAAATTGTGTGGCAAATATTCACCACAAACATCTATCTTATCTACTAACAACTTCCAAAATAAAACAAACAACAAGGCCACGATAACAAAACTGACCTCACACCCTATGAAGCTAGAGGATCCACAGGGACAAAAGAATCGAAAACACCAAGCTTATACGGCACAGCCAGGAACAAGCTCACCACCAACAAGGCACCATTGGACAGAGGAATGTAGAACCAACAGCCACAAAACTTTAAGCCGCCAACACCAGTGCACAGCTAGAGAAGAACTGCAGCGGAACTAAAACTCACCTCAACGAAAAAATGGCTGTCCTTTTTTCCCATATGTATGGGGTAAGGGGAGGTAAGATAGTAGGCTACCCCCAACACCAGGTTGAGAGCAGCTTCCGTAAGAGACCTCCGAATTATGAAATGCCTTCCGTGGGACTAGATCCCACAACCTCAAGGTTAAGAACCTTGTGCTCTACCAACTGAGCTGTATGGTCATTTCCTCACCTCAACGAAAAAGGCTTAAAAATAAAAATCAAACCCCCTGCAATATTAATCAAAAGAAAATATCATTATATATATAACAAATGTTTATATATCGATAAACTTGAGATTTATATAAGATAATATCATTTAACAATAAACGCTCATATTTCTAACATATGTGATGCTTGAACTTGATATTCAAGAGTCGTTTGGTTCTTTCAATATTTAAATATTTTTTATTTTAAAATATTTTATAATTTTAAAGTATTTACTAAAATGACATATAAGATAAATAATGTTATGTCGATATAAAATATTAGTATATTAACCTATGATGTATAAAATCATTAAAAATTTGATATTGTGTTAATATTTTCTTTAAACAAAAGTGATTTATTTTTAAAAAAAATGGAGAATAAAATAAATAAATTTGAAAATGAAAAAAAACATATGAGGGTTAAAATTAGATTTATACCTTTCAAATAAACTCATAGTACCATATATAAAGTCAGTCAACGAATTCCCGAGGCACAAATTTATTGACAATGATCATGTAATACAAATTAATAGAATATTCCTAAAAAATAATATAAATTATTTAAATAAATAATATAATTTTCCAATGCGATACAACAAGAGTCCACATTAGCGTGTTGAATATTATATTTATTTAAAATTAATTAATTGGAACATTCTGTTACCGTTAGATGTAATACAAAACTTGTTTAAATATAAAAACTATTCTGTATTTGTCGTATGCAGACTTATCGGTTGTCGGCGTCTTCTCGAGGACCCATTTGAGCCTCAACTCCCAAGTTAATCTCCTGCTTTTCGCCAGACACCCGCACAATCCTTACTCGGATTATCAATGATATTCCACTTCCAAATACCCGCACCATCAGGCATACTCCTTACTGTTGCAGATAAGGAACTACAAAGGCCATCATTATTCACACAGTATATCAACGGCTCAAGATCAGGGATCCATTTCTGATGCATGGGGATCCGAGATAGATGATGCTGAACTGTCAGATTACACCTTAATGACGTTGAGATATCATGAGTTGGCAGATCAGCGCAAAGGCGGAATTGATTGTGACATGTTCCTTATTGGGGTCGTTTTGAGTATGTTTCAGTCTTTTGGTCATAACTTTGACTACAGGTGTCAGAATCGCGCATAAGACCCCAATCCGGAAAGCTCTTTTCGACGCGCACGCTCTCCACATCGAGCTATGCTCCATGTGGCCTTTTTTCAACCTCAAATTCTGTCATTTTCCCCTCCGAATCACTAAATTTATATATTTTTTTACTATTTATGGTAATATTTCGATTGTCAATTAGGAAGCCAATTTAAATCCGATTTAGGCCAGATTTTTTGGAGATTGCTTATTTTATTTCGAATTTTAATTTAGAGTGATTTTCGGGATTTTGCTATTTTTGGTAAAATTTGAATAAATACGATTTTTGGCTATAACAGTCTGACTTATGGACTGATTTCAGGATTATTGGCTTTATAATATTTTATTAAACCCTAGAGACTTTTTTCTCTAATTTTTGGACGAATTTTTTTTATGAATCATCTGTTGGAACTAACATGCAGGATAATCATTATTATGTCTAGCATCAATTTCTCTCTCCAAAAGTCCGCATTAGCGCCATTTTTCCACCACGAGTAGTATTACTGCAGACGTCCTGCCAAATAATACTAATCCCTTTCCAAAGCTTCGAACAATTCTGGTTCCGAATAGTCAAAGGAGCACAATCCCCGCATTTGTACTTCACGCGCAAGAACCGAACCCACAGAGTATACTTTTGATTGATTAGATTAAAGGCAAATTTCATAATAAACGCTTCATTGAGAGATTCTAATTTCCTGAATCCCAAGCCCCCATACTCAATCGGAGACCGTCCATCACCAAAACCTTTACTATTCTTCACTTTCTTTTGCACCCTCTGATCAGCAGCGGTAACCGGTGAACCGGGCCTTTCCAGAGAGGGTTGCAAATTGATCTGCGGTATAGCATCCGGCAGACGGCCACCAGGATGATGAAGAGGATTGAGCGGCACGCTAGGATTTCAGTCTATGACAATTATAGTATAAATTAACGGTACACGGTTTAAAATATTTCTAAACGGTGAGACTTTTGTTTGCGTTACACTATAATATTTTTTATTTACAAGAGATATTATAATCTTAATACAGACAAATTTTAGTTTTCTTAACTTATTAAGTTCTCGCTACTTAAAATAAGTATAAATTTGATTTGAATTTTATAAATTTAATTCGATTTAAAATTTTTAAATTAAATTTGAATTATAAATATATGACTCGTTAATTTAAATAATTTAAAAAAAATTAATTCTACTTGATAAAGCACTTATTCTTAACTAAAACATTACACGGTAATTTATGGTGCTATATTCTATTTTGTACGTTAAAGATTCTTCGTGGAGTTGTCGAAGTCCACAACATTAAATAAAATTAAAATACATTAGATTCTTTTTATAAAATAATGTAAATAACTTATACAAATAATTTAATATAATTTTCAAACAAATGAACAATTATTATTACACTACTCGCTGATGATAATTAAATTACACATTTAATAATTAAATTTTATTTTTCTCCTATTTTATTTATACTTTCAATTTTTTCAATTTACTTACTGTTAAATAATTAACGACGTTATGACATGATCATATTTAAATTAAAATAACATCGTTTTAATCTAAATTTATTTTTTTCAAGAATTCAAAATGACATTGTTATAATGTAAGTTATCATGTCATAAATATCGTTAATTATTTAACGACGAAGTGATAAAAAAATTAAATCTATAAAGTTTAATAAATAAATTAAAATATATATAATCTGATGTTAGCGAAGATATCATGTTTTAGTATAAAATTTACTGACACATTTTCGCTAATTTTACAAATATAAAGGAAGTATTTTACTTAGCCTTTATAAATATCTCAGAAATGTATTAAAAAAATATAGGAAATCACTGTGCAAATTCATATTCCGTATCTCAACTGGATCACGATTCCATATCTTATATTTTTCAATATATTATTCTTTTCTCTTTTAATTTTCAATTCTCCATACTTGCTTTGACTTTGCCCTTCCATTCTCCTTTTTATTCTCCTCTCTTTCATGTCTCGACTCATTTCAAGAATATTCCCATTTCTCCCTTTAGAAACCAACAATTTTCTCAATTTTTCTTGGATTTTCACTTCTCTTGAATATATGCGGTGTTGATCGTCGAAAGGGTCTTTGTAACGATTATATACTGTTTTTCCCGACCCAGAAAATGCCCATGGACCGAACACTACAATCGGAGAGCATGAGATCAACGTACGTACTCTCGATCGAGTGTCTAAAAGGGAGTTCCAAGGCCGACGAATGGGCCGGAGACATGCTCCAGACCGGCGATATTGTCGAGGAGATTCGTTTTGGATCCGGCTCAGGATCGACTCATAAGTCACCTTTTAAAGGCGGCAGGAGCGGAGTCCAGAGGATCCTTCACAGCTCCTTTAAGAACAAGGAGACCTCCATCCTCGTCCGAGTCAGGCGAGGCAACGACGAGTTCGCTCAGCTGCAAGCGTGTATTGTGCCTAACGAGGCTGCCGGGAGAAAACAATACATGTTGAGGTCTATAGCGGATCCTAATTACGCTGTCGGGTTCTTAGATCGCACCGAGTCCGAGTGCTTCGACTTGCAAGGTGAGTTAGTTCTCTTTTGACTACGTTTTCGTCTCCGAGTTGGCCCGCCCGCCTACTCCAGTGCCTAGTTTTTTTCTTTTTGTTTGCACTTTAGACTTTTCGGCCTAGATTGCTTTGATTCTCCGAATGTTTGTGTTAGACACGTGTAATACTAATTTATTTTTTAATATCTTTACTATATTTACTATCTAAATTTACAAAAAAAGTTCTTTAGTTTTATTTCAAAAAAAATCTGTGATTAAATTAAAATGGTATATATATCAATAAATGCTGCCTCTTAATTTATAAATTGTAGAAAAAAGTTCTAAGAATTAGCTTGCAATTGTTTGTAGAAAAAGTTAGTGTTAAAAATGTGTTTAAATGATAAACTGAAATATATATTTGAAGAATTTTTAGTATATAGTTATGTGAAAAAATGCGTTATTTTAAATCAAAATGTCAAGGACAATATGCATAAAATTCAACTTTTCTTTGGGTGGCGTATCTGTCAACATTCTCAAAGATATGTTTTTCACAATGTGATGTTTGTACAGCCATTAAAGTCAACTACTTTTCAATGGTTATTTAGGGACTTCGAGTAACGTACATGTTCGATAGAGATTAATTTGGATAGACTCAGGAATTTATATTAAAGGTGTAAATTTAAGAAGTTATATTAAAAATTTAGGAGATATTAAATTATAAAATTCTAGGAATCGAAAATTAAGTAACCAATAGAAAATACAAATAAAGTACCTAAATTATATCAGTCCATTCATCCCTGTTTATGGATTCAGTGAAAGCCTTAGTGATCATTTAGTTTATGTCAACTTTGGGATGGATTATACTAAGTTTTCCGGGCCTTGTGCGTGAGCGTCTTTAAAGTGATAACAAGTTAGCCTAATCAACCCTTCGATCCTTGAGCAGTAAGAGCAACCTTCATCTTTGTCCCTTTACAGAAGTTTTTGGTATGAATCTCTGCTGGCATCAATTGTGTAAACCACATATGCAATCCTAGTGTACGAACATGAATGTAACCTACGAAATATGGTTGTATAAGTATTAAATAAGCATACATTGTCCTCGCCTAATGCCACTTAATGGTCACTGTTCTCTACTTGTCCAGCAATATGTGTTGCTGGATTTATACTTCTAATTGAATAATTAACTCAATTGTCTGTTTGAGTAGATGAATGGAGTGTTGATGATCATTTCTCTTTAACCCCATTTGCTGCTTGGTAATTGGTATGCTATCTCTGCATAGAAGTTATCCATAAGTAAATGTTCAGCACTGACCCATAACTTGTTGAAAATAGAATTTTGAATCTTTTCCTTCAGGTTTTTTTACCCCTAGTTTCTGATTCGATGTTAAACAATGAGTCTGCAGCTTCAAGGAGCTCCAGAATGGTCAGTGAACTAGAAAGGACAAGGCTTCAGGATGGATATGTCTCATATCCATGGGAAAGGAGGATGCAGGAGATGCTATCAGTTCCCAACTCAAGCAGCTTTCTTTCCATTCTCCTCCTTCCAAAGGCTTCAGATCGAATGGCCTCTCGATACAACAACCTGGAGGATACCCTTGCTCGAGCAAATTCTTGGCTTACTGCATCTCAGGCATCTGGGGTCCCCATTGTTTTCATGAATATCCAGACTGAATCCTTACTCACTAAGGTACAATGCCGAAGCCTTAATCCTTTAGACTAGAAGTCTAGAAGCAGTAGTGAGTTGAATCTTCCATTAAAATATTTGGAAATTGTTCGCGACTGATGTTAGCTATCGACTATTTAAACTCTTGGACAGGATAAATTTTAAGGCAATTTTCTTATATGAACCCTTAAGACACCAGCTTCTCTGATTACTGGAACTGATTTTTCCTCAATTTTTTGAGCAGATCTCTGGGGAAACAGCCTCAGCTACTGTGAGTGCTGGGTCATTATCTGATTTATCGAACCTTGCCAATGCAAGTCTATACGGTTTTGAGGACTATCATGGGGTTGACATTGGAGTCGTTAGAGCAGTTCGTCTATGGTATGCCCCTCTTGTGGAAGAAATCGCAATCGAGATAAAACTAAAAGAAGATGACATAAAGCTCGGATTTGCCATTAGCCGCACAGAAGAGGTACGCCATCTGATTCTCCATGATTGTCTCTGTGACAACATTTTCTTATATATATGTTCTCTCTCTAATAACAGGGATTCATCTACATATCATCTGTCATTGATGGTGATGAAAACGTGCCCTCAACGAGATCTGGACTCAGCACTCTCTACAAAAAAGCACTGAACGCATCTAGGCTGCTGGTTGTCTCAAGATTATCAAACCAGAAGGTTCTTCCATGGATGGTTTCCTCAACCGGAGCTGTTCGATGCTTTGATACCGTCTCCCTAAGCCAAAAGCTCTCACTACACCGGCATGCCAATGTTCCGATTCAAATGCACGTCTTCTTGTGGGATCAATCGTTGGTTTCCCGAGGTTTTAGCAGTGCTAGGCTGATGGTTCCCTCTCCAGCTTTACCACTGCCCCCTGAAATTAGATTAGCCCACCAACCTAACGACAACCAAATCCTGCCCCTGCCACCTGATGAAACAAATGAAAGCATACCTTCAAGCGAGCAGCCGGAGCGCCGATTACAACGAGACACTGCTGGGGAAGTCTCCTTCAGATTTCACGATTTTTCACTTCCTAACAACTGGGTATGATTTTGCATTTCGTGCTTCTGTGTATAACAACTTTTACAGGTAGATGAGTTCATTGATCGGACCTAGTTACATAATGATAGGCAGCTTGATGTTGAATGAAAATCCAGAATAAACACAGGGATAGATATAGTTCAGAGTTCAGATGATTGATGGTTTATACATACAAACATATATATGTGTGTCTGTGTGTGTGTGTACTGTTTGGTTTGTGTATCATACAGGAGCTTTCGGGCATTAGGGTGGCCATTTTTGTATGTTTTGCTATTTTTAACTACTTTATTCTGCATTTTTTTCCCATTTCCTTGTAATATTAATAAAGTTAATTTTATGTGAAATAAAATACTATGATAAAAAGGAAAATAAATAAATCAGATTTTTGTGTCACCATCGTTTTTCTTATCATATAATTTTCCAGATTACTTTTAATTTGTAAGACGGCTTCTACCCAATTTTTCCTTTAGTTGTTTCAAAATTTAAAATGTAAAGTATGTGGAATGAACTAATACCTCCTACGAAAATATTATAAAAAATAAATAAAAACATGATGTCTATGAACATAATTTAAATACATAATTGTATTAAATTTTAGGGTAAATAAGGTACATGTAAGTTTTTGTTTTCACCATTGATATTTCAAAAGTTACTAACATTATCGTTTATTACAAATTGATCCGTCAACATTAACAATTTTTACCGTAGGTAACAAAAAACTAACATAACATGTTAATTGCTGATTTGATACCATTTCACCATTATTTTGACCTACCTTCTTTTTTACTTAAAACCCACTATTTTCATTAGTTTGGCTGTAGAAATAGGTTATCTTCTTAAAACAGCAAGAGTTTTGGCTCGACACCTTTGATACTGCAGAAGTCATCGCAAGAGCCAGTGATGAAGTCGCTCTGAGATTCATGGGAAACAGGGCCAAATTAAATATTCCCGAACTCGTCATGGTCGTCCCCTAACCAATGCAGAATTTTCCCGCTACCCAAACACCGGTTTCCACTTCTCAAACGACCCATTTCCAACTGTCTCATGCTACGCCATTGCCGTCGTTTTACCAACCCCAACCTCTCCAGAACTCTACCGCTGATATGCTGAGAGATTATTGGCACTACTCTCAACTGCTACAGAGTTCCGCTGGTGGCCATGAACAACTAGATACGAGCTTGATGGAACAGATGATTCAACCCTCTCAATTACCCAATATTCAACAACCATGTTATCTTCTTCTTTCTCATGTTTCCCTTCTTCATATATTGCTTCTGCTTCTTCTTCTTCTTCTTCTTCCGGCTCTTCATCTTCTTCCTCTGCTTTTCGCCTAGCATCAACAGATGGGCATTTTCAGGAAGTCGTCCGATAAAATCTCAGGCAAGTGGGTCACATTTCCCTGTGCCATCCAAGTTTCATCCCAATCACTATCCTTCGTCCACCGGTTCATAGTAATCCCATTGTTTTACATCATCAAAAAAATATCATTTGAAATTTTTTCCCGAATCGTATTTTTTTTTCTTCCATTTTTCATAAGAAAAATACAAAAGGAGCATGAAAAACTTAAGAGGGGATACAAACAAAGAGACATTTAGGCATATTAACTTGGTTCTCGATAGGGATTTGATGTTTGCTTTCTCTCAGTTATCGAACAACAGATGTTGAAAGAAACCCAATAACCTTTTTTCCCATTCTGTCTATTGTTTACTTTACAACCAAAGATTCATTAAGAATGTAGTTTTTTTTTTACGCAAATCTTTTTTTGAATTGCTCTCGTTGGTGCAGACTCGATCAATTGACCGCAAATATTTCCAAGTGAAAATTAGTTTTGAGAATATGCTACCAAAATATGCAGCAAATAAAGGAAAAAAGACTTACCATAGCGTTATCAGTTTCTGTGAAATTGTTGCATGCAGGGCGGTTTTGGAACCAAGGAAAGAAGTTGAGTAGTTGGGGAGCTTTGCACGATACAAAGAGAGTTGTTGGATGGGCGGTTTTTTTTTTTACTGTAGGAACATACCCTGAAGATGAAGATTGAATAACAAAGATTAATGAAAATTGTAGATTTTGAGTTAAAAAGTACGAAAATGAACAAATGGATCTGCAGTTAACACAGCGTGTAAGCTTTTTGTCCCCAAAGTAGTCGGTATTAATATCGAGTGACCAATTTATAACAATAATATTAATGATCGATTTATGATTTTTGAAATATTAATAGCGAAAATAAAAAAAATTCTCAAACATTAGTGATTATTAGCGTAGTTTACTCTAAATTTTAATTAAATGAACTATTATCATGTAAATTTTTAAATAAATTAATAACATTATAAATGTGAGAAAAATATTACGAACATAATATAAATATACAATTTTTTTAGATGCATCTAGTTTTATTCAAAATAAAAAATATTACAAATTATGATAAAGATTTACAACAATAATCGTAAATTAAGTTCGTTATTATAAAATTTTCATATAATTATTGAAACAAAACTAAATAAGAAACTCGAGTTTCGTATAAATACTATACAAGGAAATATTTAAAAGTTAAACAATAAACTCAAACAAATATAGATACAAATAAATCTGATCGTAACGGAAAACGAACCATAAAAGGGATCAAGTTATTAAAAGACCACTGACAAACTGCAAATCTGTAATACCCCAAAAATTTATATAATGACCAAAATGTAAATTTTGAAAGTTTGATGGTCAAAGTAGAAAATTAGGAACAAGTTTAGGGAATTAAGTGATAATTTCCTAAAAAAAATTATTCCATAAATAGATGAGTTACTCTTGAGAGTGGAATTTTATAAAAATCATATTTTTGGAATTTGGAATTTTAGTAAAGAAAAATTATAAAGGGTTAAAGTCCAACAAGGAATCGGTAATTTGGATCGAATTGGAATTTTACAAAAAATTGAAGGATGTTATAAGATGGCTGGAAATATTATTCTAATATTTTAGATCAGAGAAATTTAGTTTGGAAATATGCAATTTTTCAGATTTAACTGAAATAGTAGAATTTAGTGACTAAAACGCAAGTTTTTAAATTTCATGGGAAATTTTGGAAATCAAAGTCAAATTAATTCATCTTTGACTGTAAAATATGATAAGGATGAGTTGTCATGGTTTTATGGTGAATATGCATATTCATTAATGGAAAAAAAATGGAATTTCCTATTGAATTAAATAAAAAATTTCATTATATTATATTAAGCCATGTGTTATATTTATTTAATATTAGAGTATCAATGAGGGTGGAGCATTTTCATCTCATCTTCTTCTCCAAGTTGTTGTGGGTATTCTTCAAAGGTGAGAGAAAACTTCAACTCAATTTTCAAGCAATTTACTTAGGATTTTGAGTAAGTTGTAAATAGAAAAATTTTATATGCAAAAAACGCTATCATTTGGTATTAATATTGCATGATAATCTTGTTGGTGTTCAAAGATCCCAAATCTAAGGGTTTGTGTTCATATAAGGAATCACGAAATTGATGATGAATATGGATGTTTGTGAGGTAGTAGATTCATATTCAAGCATGTATAATGATTAGAACATGTTTAATCTTTCTAGAACTTATTTTTTAAGTTTTGGCCATGGATTGTTTGAGTGAGAACAATTATGGAAAAATTATATAAGGGTTGGAAATGATGAAGGAAGTATTTTACAAGCCTTAGAAAATTTGAGGATCATTTCATAATTTTTGAAAAGTTGGGGATCAATTCATAAATTCTGGAAAATTGATGGGTTGTTGTATAAGTATTATATAATTGATGTACTATGATGGAAATTGTTATTTGGGAATTAAAATGAGTGTTAGAATGAGAAATATGACTATTTTGGAAGTTTGAAAAGATTAGTGATTTAAGTACAACTTCACATAGTTAAGGTACTTAAATGTAATTATACTTTTGTAAAAACATTTGAATGGTAATAATTTAAATGCTGGAATTATTGGTATTAAGAATTTAAGTGGTAAAATGGTGAAGGATCATTTTTAGTAAATTGAAAAAGTTGGTTCTAATATTAAAAAGAATTAATAAGAGTTAAAGTAGTTGGTGGTGAATAGTTTGAAGTATGGTTATGGAATTTATTTTGGAAATATGTTTATGTTAGTGCAATGCTAACATATATATAAGTATGAATATATATTTTGTACAGATCGTGATTTACTCAGTGTTCAAAGCAATTCGAGTATAAAAGGAAAGAGTTATTATGGACAATAGTGAGGCACATATGTTGGAAATTATAAAGTGTCGAGGTGAGTGCAATACATGCATGAAATTATACATGGATGTTTTATACATTATCAGGAAGACTTGCGATAAGTCAACCTTGTTTATGTTGACATGATATTTATGTCATTTATCATATATTTGATATATTCTAAATATGTCAAAGGTTGATTATAAAATGCATTGATCACTGATTGTTGTATATGATATTATCATGAACATATATGATTTTTATCATGAATAATATTGTGGGTATGAACTGCCCAATGTTAAATGATATACTTTGACATAGATGGATCGAATAAAATTGACTATATGCCCAAATATGTTATTGAGGATCAGTGGTATTAATGGAATGTCATAGAGTCTAGCAGCTGCATATTAGGTAGCACTATAGTGTCTAGAGAAAGCACATAGTGCAGGCCTCAAAGTGTCTAGTGAAGACATGGTACAAAACACTACGGTGTACTAGGTGGGTAAATCTCGACCTCAGCACTTCGGTGCAACATTTAACTCCTATACAGGGTTCCTCATACAATTATACTTTGAGTTATGGTTTATTGTGGAATAGATTGTAATCATGAAAATAAGCTTACGAGCTTATGGAATAATGGTAAGTATATGAGTAAAATAAGCTTACAAGCTTATGGAATAATGGTAAGTATATTGGTAAAATAAGCTTACGAGCTTATGAGATAAATGGTAAGAGATTTTATATTATCTTGATTATGATAAAATATTGGATATGTTGGTAACATGATTTTATGGTATTTTGAATTTGTCATTGAAATTCATGCATGAATTGTATTGCATTGTTTATTGTTTTAATTGCCTCACTAAGTTTATACTTAGCGTGTGATGATTTTCACGCGTATGTAAAAGGCCAGTAGTAGAATAGAGCGACATCAAGCATCGAGAGGTATATTTCAACATCAGTAAGACATCATACGAGGGAATTTGATTTAGAAAGTGGCATGTAATTAATAA